AAATGTTTTGACCCCTAACAAATCCTAAACCTTCAAAACTAAATCCTAATACAACATATTTAACTCAAACATAAATGATATAATGAGTAAATAATTTTGAAAAATGACATTTTTGCAAAGATTGTGAAAAATGACATATCTCAAAATTTATCTTTACAAAACACATGGGAATTTTTCTTTTGGATGGATTTACATATTTATGGACTGCAAAACTCGTATTACGATAAATGCAAAATTAAATCCAAAACAAAGAATATCCAAAATCACGACAAAATAAAGATGTTGGTAGCTATAGTGTCGACTATGATTGGGCTTCGCATTGGTTTTGATTTGATGAACTCGAAATTATCAATCTCCGTCCCGTCAACATTCTTTCACTGCTTATTACATAAACATAACGCCGTGATATAACGGTGTTTAGACAAATCTATTTTTCTTTCTTTCTTTGTAGGTCGGCACGAGCATACTTTCCCGAGTTTTGACCTTCAACTTCAAGCCATTTGGCACGTGACTCACACGCTTAGGTCTTCTACTCACTTGTCCAAGTAGAGATAATGTCTATTAATACATGTTATCGTTTTCTATGGATGAAGCTTTACATAGCATCCAAGTTTTCTTACGCTAAATGTGCAAAATTATATATAGCATGTGGTATGGAGGGACCTTGATAGCATTCTAATGTTTTGATTTGACCGAATTACCTTAATTGGTATAATCAACGACAAGATTAGGAAAAAAACGACACGATTAGGGATGTAATATTGAGGAATAAAAACAAGTAACGGAAAGGTAAGGATAATAGAAGACATTCATATCCAACTTAGATCACAAAGCACCCTAATAATTAGTTATGTGATAGCAACACTTGCATGTCCCATTTGCAAAACCCTAGGGTACAAAAAACAATTTGAAAGAAAGAAAAAAAATTGATGTGGATGCCCCAGGAGAGGCCTATTGCCATTACCTTACATCTATAAATGGGGGACCATTACTAGCTAACAATATTTCTTACATTTATATACAAATATTTATTGTAAAACTTCTCAAAACGTAATGTTTCAAAGCAGCAGGACCATAGGACTAGCCATGTCTCGGATTGTCCTTAAAAGTATAAAATCTATTCTCTTTTAGTTACTTGGTTCTTTCCTCTGAGTGTTTAAGTGAGGATCACAAGTCTATCAAGGACCATCTTCAAGCTGCAAACTATTCATGAAAGATTCTTTATCAAGAGACAATGATTCGCTAGATGTGTCTTTCCACATTTAATTCATTGTTGACGAAGTACTACTCTTGTTTCTTTTAAGACCCCCC